CGGCCTTAACGGACACAATTTGCGGTTCTTTAGTTCATAAAAAAAGCTTAGAAAATACAAATAGAAAACAAAAACTTTTAAACTTTAAACTAGTTAGGAAGTGTAAATAAGGTTTCCGGCTGTAATATGCTTTCCTATCTGTATTAGAGATGTAACTAAGGTAACTTTCATATACTGAACACATTTTTCACGCAGTTTTAATACTGACTTTGTTCAATCTTAATGGTTTCAATGATGAAGCACTTTTCTACTTTAACTGTTGATATTGATGAACCATACGATCTTAAGAAAGTTTTGCTCTCCATCCGAATTACTCCTGTGACATTATATAGAGAAACAATATTTTAAGTTATTTTGCTTGATATTCATGAAAAGATGCGTTGTTTGTCAAACAAGATGATTTAATTTTTCCGAATTCCCTTCCAATGAAATCACCTGATGATCCATTAACGACAAAAGGGAAATGACAATCATGCCCACACAAGAAATTCACCTGGGAAATAGCTAGCCAACCGTGCCAATTAAATATAGCCTGCGTAGCAGGCGCTTTAAAGTAGTGGTCGCAAAAAAGAACGGGCGCGCGAGAGGGACTCGCGCGCCCGTTCTCTCTTGCGCCCACTACTTCAAAGCGCATACAAAATACAGTCAAACCCCGTTAATACGGAAATTGAGGGGGCCATAGAAAATGTCCGTATTAACCCTTTTCAGACGGTTAGGGTCGTTTTAATTTCGTCTCATATGGAGCGATGCATATTTTCCTCCCTAGTACCATTTAGCGTTGAGTTTAAACTATTAAGTTGTTAAGCAGCAACGTTAGCAGAGATAGATCAATTCCACCGATACCTCGCCTTTGCAATTTCTAACCAATCCTGACAGAGTTACAAATATAAAACCAAATAACATTTCGAAGAAAATCCAATGGCAATTGCCCTATTTACTTAAGACTACTCTTTGTAGATTAAATTTGTCCCTTTCCTAAGAAGCTAGCCAGCCACAATTCCATGTAAACGAAAGACGATATAGTGGGCAGCAAAACTGAAAATAGAAAAGAAAGGAAAAGGGAGAAAAGAGAGCTAGAAAAAAAAAGAAAGAAATTCGCTAACAAAAAAGGCTCATGCGCATGTGCGAAAAAAGAAAAAACTGTTTCAAAACTCCGTTTTTGGCCATTCCCATGCTGATTAATCGAAAACCAGTCCAAAAAAGAGGCATTAGTGAAAATGCGGTTTTTCCCCTACTCGCTTTTAAAAGGGTTAAGCGGATACATTTAGAGCAGGGACAAAGCAAAACTGTTCGTATTAAGAGGGTCAAAGCGGGCTTTGATAGTTTAGGTTTTACTTGGCACATCTAGCTCCTGAAGTCTCCTTATAAAAGTATTATTCTTGTTTTAAGACGTGTTAGGTCAGACTCCATGCAATAACTGGACCTCAGACAAAACCAGTTCAAATGAACTTCCACCCAGTGGACTTCTGACACCACCCAGTGGCCTTCCCCAGCCACTACCAAGTGCACAACCTTTAAAATATAACCAGCTCTGATTTTCTCCTAATAAAAGTATCATACTTGTTTTACAGACGTGTTAGGTCAGAGTCCAACACCTGGACCTCGGTATAACCTGAGTCAGTCAGCTGAATACCACTTGAGGAAGGTTCTTTTGGGGCAGTACGACAAAATGGTCCGCCCGGTATTAAAACCATCTGATGTGATCAATGTCACCTTTATTGTGGACTTCAAGGCACTAAGCGCAGTGGTAATTGCTGAATGTAACTGATGTATTTTTCAGGCCTAGCACTATACATGTTTACACTCACAGTTGCAAATCTGTTCATAATGCAGTGCAATACAATATATATTGTAAAAGGTTTTTAGGACGAAACAGGCAAAGGCTGGACATTCAGATTTCACATAGCATCCAAACACTATCGAGACAATGGTGGTTAAAAAAGCATTCCTAAGGCATTGCATGTATGTATGCTAACTAAATAAGGACTTACATAAGCAGATAGTTAGACAGATGGACTGTTCCAGCCGCGATTTTCGCGTGCTTTATTTCTCCACCGAGCTCTAATCAGCAGTCTGAAAGCCTGAAACTAGATTCTGAAGAAATCCTCTGATATTCGATCTACACATGTATATAAGAAAATAGCAACTTTGGTTTTTTTTCCAGGACAGCAAAGACCAAATTATTACAAGACACTGAGATAACCCAGGTAAATCACTATAAAATTAGTTGGGTTTTATTTGTTACACTGATTTGTGCAAGTTTTTGGCTTAACATACAGTAGTGCACATATGACAGCTCCTGCCAACAGAAACGAACTGATGAAAACTGACGAAAAAGAAAATTCTTCTCCTGAAAAACTGAATCAAATGCATGAACTGTATATACAACTGCGCCGACAAAATATAGTAGTGCTTTCTGTTCCCTCTAGAGAGGTATATGATGTGTAGAATTATTCGTGTAGGCGTACGGGCCGGGGGGGCGAGGGGGGCTGCAGCCCCCCCAAATTTTGGGCAACTCAGATTTTTTGGGCAGCGAGAGAAAATTTGGGCAAAGTCAGTTTTTAAAGACGTCTCCATGTTTATTTAATTTAATTATTTTGAAGACCTGAATATTAACCTAAAATCGGCGTAATAATCCAGTTACATTACAGTGGTTGCCTAGCATGTGATGAGTAATTTACATATTTGTAGTTTTTTTATTGTTGGGCACTCTACTGCACTGCACTAGCTGGAATGGGCTATTTCCAGTCGTGAATTTCTTAAAATAAACTTTCGCATAATTTTCTAGAATCATCTCCACTCGAAGAACAGTGTATGGCAGATAGCATCAGCAATGGGTATGAAAATGAAGAAGTGGCTGACTACTGAATTCTCATTTTGAGTTAGTATAGCGAGAAGAATCTTAATTCTTTTAAAAAATCTATCGAGCAGTTCCATGAAATTATTCGCTAATTTGTTAAAGTAGACCGAAATGTTTACAAAACTGCTAACAAGAGTGCCTTGATGACTAATCAAATCCTTCTTTCGATTCTAGCAATCAAGCAGAGTTATCTCCACGATCTATCAAACATGTTTTTAAAAAGATTAAAACTACTATGAGGTGAAAATGCATGTCAAAAGCGCTTCGTTTTGTACAGATAACGGCCAAACAACAAGATTTTCCTTTTCTTACCGTATTTCTAATAATAAAAACTTCATTCCAAAATATCTCGATAACGCTCTTAAGGTTTTGTTTAAACTTCACGAACATCAAGGCGACCGTATTGGAAAAAAATGCTCCTGTGAACGATTTTGTAAGGTTCCCCGTGCCGAGAGAATCATTGCTGAAGTAAAATAGGTAATGGGGTCATTTCGTTGCTATGACAGCTCCAATGTCATTGCAACCCTGATGGTGACAAATTTTCATCTTAATACAACGGACGTCGCAAGTTTTCAAATGTTTGTTTATGGCGACGTAGTTTATGCTCAGACTTGGTATTCAGACCCTGGAACTGACTGAATCGAGTCACCTTCATATGCCAGGACGGCCTATGTTGCTGCAATATGGCCCTCATTTCTTTTCGACTCTTTCGTAAAAATTTGGGCAACTTGCCGGTTTTTTTTGGGCAAATGGTTTACCGCCCCCCCTGGCAAAAAATTTCCCGTACGCCTATGCGTGTTGGAATCGATCATGCAACTCTGGAGGACACCAGTTTCATTGTACACATTATGCCAATCCAGTCTCACCGCCAATCAGATTGACATCCCTACTAGGTTTTCACATTTTTTTACTGAAAACCAAACCATCTTATCAGTATCTTCCCCTCTTTTTCCAGATGTGGACTAATCCGTTCCTTCAGTGGAATCCTCAAGATTATGAAGGGATAGACCGTATTCTTGTGGACCCACGGACCATATGGGTACCTGATATTGTTCTCGAGAACAAGTTAGTTTATTTGTACTTTTTTATGAGAGGTATAGCTTGAGATGATATAAGTATTCAGGTATTCACACTCTCACTCATTCACTCACTCAAGCTCTTCATCCCGGATGGGACATGTGTCGATATTGCGTGGTTGCTTAGTAACGCTAGCGACATGCGCATTAGGACTCGAAAGCTCTTACAATGTGCTCTTGCCAAATGGCGGACTCTGTATATCAGGTTTGTTTGTTATAAGTGACTAAATCCTGTTGAGATTTCAAGACAGGACATAAGGCCGCAATCAAACGTCGCCACTCTACCCTGTCTTGAGATTTGGCCTGCGCTTCATTCCATGTTTGACCCAACTCCTCTAGCTCTATCATCACTGTTCTTCGGCAGGTGGCTTTTGGCAAGCCTCTTTTCGACCTCCCATTTTTCAACTACTCACTTAGAGACACTAACAGACCTTGAAAAGAGTTCAAATTTACGAAGACTAGTTCAGTAAAATTATATGGTCCCTCAATGTAAGGTATTGTCTAATGTCTCAGGGATATCTATAGTTAGGTAATTTACTTTATTGGGCTGCCGAGGTTGCCTTGTACAATTTTTAAAAGCGTCCCTTGTATTTTCTTACAGTGCTGATAGTCAGGTCCTTCAAGCAGGTCATGTGGAGAAATTCCACACCTATGTGCTGGTGCAAAGTAATGGCCAGAATACGTGGATTTCTCCATCGACCTTCAAAAGCCCGTGTGACATCAATGTGAAGTTTTTTCCATTTGACAAACAGCAATGCAATATGAAATTTCGCTCCCTGACAGCTGATCGCTCTCTTTTGGACATTTTCTCAACAACCACGGAAACTGAGGATCCAGAAAAAGGTATCATGTTATTGGTCATGGTGCAGGAAATTTCTTGTAGCTAGAGGTAGTTATATAACGTCCTGATCCTGTAAGATCACTGATTATTATACGATATTTTTTATGATTTAATAATCAAACAAAGGTGGTCAATCAGGTCAATCATGTCCTCCTTTCTTGTTTAGATCTAAAACTCACGTCGTCAAATGGTTACTGGACCCTGAGCCAGTCTTGTCATAAAA